TGTGTGTGTGTGTGTGTGTGTGTGTGTGTGTGTGTGTGTGTGTGTGTATGTGCATGTACCTGCAGAGGCAAAGTACAGGGACCTGATTTTGGATCTCCACTACCCATGTAAGCAGCCAGGAATGATGTCATGCCCCTTTAATCCCAGCACTGGGGAGATAAAGACAGGAAGATCCCCAGGACTAGCCAGGCAGGCTAGCTGATTCACTGAGGTCCAGAGTCAGTGAGTTTGTCTCAAAAAGAAAAATCGAGAGTGTATGAAGAAGAAAACTCAGCGTTGACTTCTGATATTCACAAAGCCACACTCACATGCATACACACACAGTTAAAAATACACACATGAATATATATGCCACCCTACACACACACACACACACACACACACACACACACACACACACACATACAGGATGGGAGACAAAATTCATTGTGGCTATAGAATAATATCTTTGCCATGCTCTTTGATAGGTAGAAAGGCAAATTGGCATTAGATGATAAGGAAGGTAGCCATGGCCTCCTGGATAGTAAAGAGGTTTTAGAAAATGATAAAAGTTTTGTAGCAGATACATGGTCTCATCAGGTTTATGTGAGGTGGACTTGAGTGGAAAGAGACAGGAGGCAGGGGGATCAGTTACTATGTCACTGCTCAAGTCTAGGTAAGAAGGCTCAAAAGAAAGCAGTAAGAGTAGAAGAGAAAAGGAAGGAAAGTGGATGATGGATTCAAACATCTGTAGGAGTTAATGCATGGTAGTTTGCATAAGGTAAAGGAGAAGGGTGTGACCTGATGTGCTCAGCAGATGCACGTCTCCAGTATACAAACTGGAGCAGCACACCACATTTCCCAGCCTGCATCACTGGTGGATCTGTGTCATCAGTGCTATCTAAGAAGTCATTTAGATTACTTCAGTAAAGTCTTAAATCAAATGGACCTAATAGACATCTACAGAACCTTTCACCCAAAGACAAAAGAGTATATATTTTCTTCTCAGCATCTCATGGAACCGTTTCCAAAATAGACCACATAGGCATGCACAAAGCAAGCCTCAACAGATACAAGAAGATTGAAATAATCCCTTGTATTATATCAAACCACCATGGCCAAAAACTAGACCTCAATAATAACAGAAATAACAAAAAGCCTATATACACATGGAAACTGAACAACTCTCTACTCAATGACAACTGGGTCAGGGAGGAAATAAAGAAAGAAATTAAAGATTTCCTAGAACTTAATGAAAATGAAGGTACAACTTCCCCTAACTTATGGGACATAATGAAAGCGGAAAGAGGAAAGTTCATAGCACTAAGTGCCTTCATAAAGAAATTCAAGGCATCTCATACAAGCAACTTAATGGCATACCTGAAAGCACTAGAAAAAAAAAAAGAAGCAGACACACCCAAGGGGAGTAGACAGTTGGAAATAAACTTAGGTGGAAATCAATACATTAGAAACAAAGAGAATAATTCAAAGAACCAACAAAATCAAGATCTGATGCTTTGAGAAAATCAACAAAATAGACAAACCCTTAGCCATACTAACTAAAAGGTAAAGGGACACTGTCCATATCAGCAAAATCAGAAATGAAAAGGGGGACATAACAATAGACATTGAGGAAATCTAAAGAATTATTAGATCCTACTTCAAAATGCAACAAAATTTGAAAATGTAAATGAAATGGACAATTTTCTTGATAGATTCCATTTACCAAAGTTGAATCAAGATCCGGTAAATAAATTAAATAGTCCTATATCCTCCAAGGAAATAGAAGCTGTCATCAAAAGTCTCCCATCCAAAAAAAGCCCAGGGCTAGATGGTTTCAGCACAGAATTCTACCAGACCTTCAAAGAAGTGCTAACACCAATACTCTTCAAACTATTGTACAAAATAGAAACAGAAGGAGCATCACCAACCTCATTCTATGAGGCCACAGTCACCTTGATACCTAAACCCCACAAAGACTCAACAAAGAGAACTTGAGACCAATCTCTCTTATGAACATTGACGCAAAAACACTCAATAACATACTTGCAAACCAAATCAAAGAATGCATTAAATATATCATCCACCATGACCAAGTAGGTTCCATCGCAGGCATGCAGGGATGTACAACATACGAAAATCCATCAATGTGATCCACCATATAAACAAACTGAAGGAGAAAAACCACATGATCATCTCCTTAGATGCTGAAAAAGCATTTGACAAAATTCAACATCTGTTCATGTTTAAGGTTTTGGAGAGATCAAGGATACAAGGCATATACCTAAACATAGTGAAAGCAATATACAGCAAGCCTATAGCCAACATCAAACTCAATGGAGAGAAATTTAAATCAATCCCACTGAAATCAGGGACAAGGCAAGGCTGCCCACTCTCTCCTTATCTCTTCAACATAGTGCTTGAAGTCCTAACTAGAGCAATAAGACAAGTAAAGGAGATCAAGGGGATACAAATTGGAAAGAAAGAAGTCAAAGTATCACTGTTCACAGATGATATGATAGTATACATGAGTGACCACAAAAATTCTACTAGATTGCTGCAGTAAAAAAATAAAATAAAATAAAAAATAACAAAGCTAGCCTGGGATACCTAGTAAAATTTGTCTCAAAAAAATTTAAAAATACTAGTGCATTTACAATTTCATAGTGTAGAGTTAATAAATGCCTTCAGTAGCAGCATAAGGCTTACTAAATTACAGATAATAGCTTCTGACATAGGTTTTTAATTAGATGTGCTAATTTGCCTTCTTTTGGCCACTATTATGCTATTCTTTTATTAAATGTGTCACAGATAGACATTAGCCTAATAAAACTCATAAAATGTGGAAAGTTCCTGCTGTCATTGAAACATTAATATTCTCTTGTTTTTTTTTTTTTACTAACAATGAAAGAGAAACTTAATTTGTTATATGCTAATTAAGGTGACATCAATCTTGATTAAAAACCAAGATCATACAATATACTCTGTGAGGAGAATAAATGAAAATGGTAGAGAGCTATGACATTTAAAAAATTATTTGTGGGAAGCTATTTTTCAGTTTAAATGGTCAGTTTCTTTTGATCTGCGAAATAATAGATGACAAGATGCATCTAAGATGTGGCTCTCCAAAAACAATGGAAATATGTTAATTCCTCTTTATTCCCTGTTTCCAGTTCCTGAGGAGGAGTAAATAAAGTGTGTTTAGTAAATAAAGCAGGGGCAAAATCTTAAAACACAGAAGGAAATAAAAGACAAAAGGCTTTTGTCAATCATTTCCGCCTAATGATAATTATAGAAATAACACTACAAATGTCAGCAATGGTAGTTTAACGCCAGTACTGAAAGGGTGTTTGTAGAAAATGGCCTTTGCCTGACACTGTCCAGGGTGCTGGAGACCTTGTAAGAAGAAGGCATGGTCCTGCCTGCAGAGGAACTCAGAGGTTCTCAGGATGGTGACTTGTCTTTCAGACAACTATGTAGGCCACACTGACCCCAAACAAGCGATGTAATGGAAGAAGACCTTGAACTTCTACCTAACGAGTAGTCAGATGCATGTGTCACAATACCCACTTTTATGTAATTCTGGGGGAGGAGTTGGGACCCAAGGCTTTATGAAGATTTAGGCAATCACTCTACCAACTGAGCCAAATCTTCAGCCCCGATAGTGACTGTGATTCTCACAGTTACTCTCTTTGAATGCTCCTTGATGTTTAACACTATCCTAAGCTATTAGACACTGGTGGCTCTCTCTCTTTTCCTCCCTTCCCTCCCTCCTTTTCTCTTCTCTCTCCTTCCCTCTCTCTCTTTCTCTCTCTGTGTATGTGTCAGTATGAACAAAAATTTGTGAGTTTTTTAAATCATTCATTCATTCTGCTGCCCAACAAATAATACTGGGTACCTATTATGTACCAGGCACCGAGGTTACCAAAGCAAGCATACTGGGCAGCCTCTGCTCTAATAAGCTTATATTCCAACATAGACAGCAGCCATGAATCTATTGTATCATGCATGACAGGTGGCACATCCTGAGGACAGACAGGAAGCATGTGGGCTCTAGTGAGAGCTTGGGGATTTACACAGGATAAACTTGCAACAGATAACTGATGCCTGTGAGGGGGCAGGAATGGGGATACCAGGGAAAAGCATTCATCTTTGAGACAACAGCACACTTTTAGATCTCAGATCTGAGTAGAGCAACAGATTTCCGATCTCAGTAGAACAAAGGCCTCAGTTTAACAGGAGGAGAGAGGCCGGCAGCGGGGGTGGGCAGGAAGTCAGAGCAGTTGCTGGGGCTGTGTGTTAAAAGCCTGGATGAAGACTCTGCTCTTTGAAGCTAATAGTTCCTCCTCAGTATTGTCTGTTTCCCCACACTGCATGGTGCAGAAATGATGACACAAGATGGCACTAATGGACTTGGGGATATGTCCCTCATGCTCTGCATTCTGACTAAGCCTCCCGAGTCAGCCCAATATTCTGGCACTCGATGCTTTTATTTTCTGAGTTGACCCTGCACGCCAGGTGTGACCAGAATAATGGCTCAAGGAGAATCTGCCTACATCCAGTTCTTGAGGGTTGCTTCATCCGAGTCAGCCTATCTCTGCCGTTATTTTTGTGCTTGCTGTGCAGCTGGCATCTCTGTTTCCACTGCAATTCTTCGGCAAACTTGACTCGGTGAAGATGAAAGTCAGCTTTTCATTGGGGGACCCAGTAGATGTTCTGTTGACTCCACTTGAATACCTGCTATGAAACAACTACAAGATCAGTTGATGGAAATGCTTTATCAGTGTGGACAATGCGATAACAAAATCTTCTAGTATATGTGCAATGTCATCGTAATTACCATATATGAACAGTGCGAAATACTGTTGGGCAAACATAGGTCCTTGATCTTGTTTGATTATCACCTTAGGGTTTCAGACATTGGACCATGAAGATCAGATTGCTCTGCTCAAAGGGTCCGCTGTTGAAGCCATGTTCCTCCGTTCAGCAGAGATTTTCAATAAGAAACTTCCCGTTGGACATGCAGATCTGTTGGAAGAAAGAATCCGAAAGTGTGGTAAGTGATGTAGTTAAAGAGTTTGTTAATACAAGGAAAACTTGGCATACATACCATGAAGATGGGCTCTGCCCTGCCAGGTAGCATTACCTGACCGTGTACCTAGCATGAAGAATGAGTGTAAAAGGTATAGGTTAAGTAGGTGGGAGTTTGGAATTTTGGCTCAAAACTCCTTTTGGTAACAGCAAGATATTCTTCTGTGAACTAAAATGAAGACTTTTGAAATATTAAAAATTTCATCTTACTAAAAATAGTACAACAGCCAGGCAATGGTGGCACATACCTTTAATCCCAGCACTTGGGAGGCAGAGGCAGACAGATCTCTGTGAGTTTGAGGCCAGCCTGGTCTACAAAGTGAGCCTAGGACATCCACAGCTACACAGAGAAACCCTATTTCAAAATAAACAACAACAACAACAAAAAAATACAACAGAACTGGGTGTATCCAGTTCAGAAAAAAAAGATTTATTTATTTCTAACCTGTAGGTATGAAAGACTAGTATCAATCTATTATCCATCCTATTTAAAATAAAATAAGAAACAATTATGATCAGTACTCATATATCATGTGCCAGATTCCAGACATTGTTCTAAATAATTTAGATAAATAATTTAGGTAAAGCCTAAAATCATCCTTTGAGGTAAGTTCTATTATCACCCCCACTTTACAGATGAAAGAGCAGAGATGGAGCAGCTCATGTCTCGAGAGGAAATGGAAGTCAAAGTCTGATCTCAGAAGCCATGTCTTTTACATTTTATCTATTGTGCAATTATTGGAATTGCATAGCGAATTGCATGTAATAGGTATTTGGCCTTCTACTGAGCTATATAACCTATCCCCAGCTAGAAGCCGTTCATTTAAATCAATATTTTACAGTGCCCCTTAAGAGACAAAGTGAAATCGTACTACACAATTCAGTTTAACTTATTATGTGTGTGTTGGCAGTGTGTGTATGTTTGGGGGGGGGGACAACCCAGCACATGCTTCTTGAGGTAGACACTTAATTGCTTAAGAAACACCTGGAAAATTAATGAGGGGAGGAATGGACAACTGAGGTGAGATTTGCCTCAGGTGTCTCCTCTGCCACTTGCTTTTCTGATGGGCCTTCCCAGGTATCAGCGTTCCTGGCTTTTGCCTCCCAGAAAATGAAGCTGCAAGGTGCTGTTCGTGCAGACCTAGAAGTGGTTAGTCAGGGATTCAGCATCTCTTTGGGATCTGAGGGTAAGTTGAGGGCACAGCTGGTGTGGGTGCAGGCCCTGCTGTGCTACCCTCTCCTCCCTAAGATGAGTTGCTGAGAGTTCACTCAGGTGCCTCAGAGCAAAGAGGAGTGGGCTTTCTGCCACAGAAGTTAAAATGTTTCGATGAGTGAGACCTGAAGGGGAATTAGTGTTCTCTCTTTGTCTCTCTCTCTCTCTTCCTCTCTCTCCGTTTTTGTCTCTTTCTCTGTCTCTCCTTCCCCCATTACTGGATTTCTAAGAGGAAACTTATCAATGTTATAAAAGCCGTTTCTGCATGAGCTGTTCATGGCTCTATTAATTGTGGTATGTAAAGTCAACACTGTTGGCTGCTACAGACTAGCTTTATTCTAGCTGTGCAAGCTTTGCGTCTAACAAGAAAAATAATACCAGGATGAATTAAGTATTCAAAGGATTAATTGATGAAAAATTCTCTGAAAAATAAAAGGGGAGGAGGCAGGTTTGGTGAAAGAGAGCCCTTCTACCACCATGTAGATCTGATGCCTGTGGGAGGGGAGAGAAAGGCTTGACTGGGGCAAGGCTTGGAGCACAGTGCTGAGGAGGTCTAAGCTAGGCAATGAGTGGGATGAGGTCAGAGATGCCCACTGAACAGACCCACAGGAACATGCTGTGGGTTAACCAACAGTGGCTGTAGTGTAACCAACATCAGTGTGTCCTTAACATTCACAGGGGGCAGCTCAGAGACCACGGTGCTCTGGTAAAGGAAGATCTGAGTAGGGCATCTTCATGGCTCCCAACGTGCATCATTACATATGTGTATGTATGTGTACATATAAATGTACATACACACATACATATATATATATATCCAAACACAGATCCTGTTAATAACGAAACATCTCTAAAAGCTGCAGTGCATAGTTTTTTGACAAGCCATGATAGAAGACAACCATCTAACTCTCCTCACCCATTTCTTCAACTCTGACTCCAGCGACTCTTTCTTTTAAGGAGCTTCATCCATTAAGTTGTCATCTCCCTATCCTCCATCCACTGGCTGAGCTACTTCTTTCCTCTGTGTGTGTATATGCCTGTGCATGTGAGAGCGGGAACATGTGTCATGGTGGACCTGTGGAGGTCATGGTGGACCTGTGGAGGTCATGGTGGACCTGTGGAGGTCAGAGGGCAGTGGCAGTCTCAAATGTTGGTCCTTGCCTTTCAGCCTATTTTGAGACAGGGTCTCTCTTATTCACTGCCAAACCAGACTTAGTCACTCTACAAGCTTTCAGCAACTCTCCCACCTCTGACTCCCACCTCTCAGTAAAGGTGTAGTGAGATTAACCTGGCTTGTGCTACTGTGTCTGGTGGGTTGAGGGGTCCAAACTCAAGTGGTTAGGCTTGCATGGCAAGCCCTTTACCCACCAAGCTTTCTGCTATCCTAACACAACTGTGCTACTTTTTACCTGACCTCTTTTCCCTCAGCACTTAGCTTCCGGTTTCTGCTCCATCAATATGATCCTTTCTTGGAATGTTTGTTGGACATACTCAACTCCTTGCTTATTTTGGGAAAGTGGCTTTGAGGCAGGTTCTCATGTATCCCAGGCTCACCTTGAACTCACTGTATGGAAGAAGATGGTCTTGAACTCTTTATCCCCCTGCCTCTACTTCTGAGTCCTAGGATTTCAGCCATGAGCCATCATGCACGAATTTTGCCATGCTGGGTGTCAAGTCCGGGGCCTTTGTGTATGCTAAGCAAGCATCCAGCTACGGGCGGCTTTTTCCTCCACTAAGATCACTTACCCTTCAGAGTACAACTCAACTCTTGCTTAAACCTGAAAACTAAGAGAGCACGGTTGGCTCACCTTATAGTGCTGACCTCACATTTCAAGCACATCTGAGAACTCCCAAATTATCACTCTTCCCCAGGCACTCAGAATCATATGTGAAACCGATCACCTGTGCTTCTTCAAACTCCCAACACCCCTTCTTTATTATTAACCAATGGCTTTGCCTGCCAGGACGGATCTTGAAAGCATAGAGTGAGCTCAGCTGAAAGTGCTGATTGTGCACTGAGGCACAGTGGTCCCAGCAGTGGCAGATCCACTTCCTCCTTTGGACGTTGGCAGCATCTGGAGGCATTTTTGTCTGCCACATTGCGGGGAGGGGACAGTACTAGCACCTGATGGGTAGAGGCCAGGCCCCCTTCATATCTAGCAAACGATTTATGGACCTCAAGATGTTGCCATGCCAAGACTGAGAAACTCTGCTATAGAAGGATACTGTGCCCTGGCGCCATTTAACAGTGTCAGATGTGTGATGCTGCCTGCAACAAATGTGGAAATGTAGAGTGGTGTGGCCTCATGCAGAGGTCTTTCTATGCAGTTATTCAGTTGGCTCTGAATAGATACATGTTGAATGCTGCCCTGCACCTGGAACTGTACAGTTATTGAAGGTATGAACAGCAGAGTGCCTGGCCTTTGGGAACTGCAGACAAATAGAGAAGGCGGCAGAGCAAAAGTAAGGAGAGTTGTGCAAACTGGAGCACAGAAGAGTGCTCACATTCCTGTGAGACTGAATCAATAGGCTCAGAAGGTGATGAAGGTTGGTTAGGAACGTATCAAGCAAGGAGAGTCTAAGGCTGTAGTAATTCAGTCACAGCAGATGCAAGGACATGGCAAAACCATAGGAGGATCCTTCTGGCTGCAATGGAAATGCCGAGTTGAAGGGGCTAAGCAGAAGCAAGGAGACATAACTGTAGACACAATGGAATATCTAAGTAAGAGAGGATGAGGTTCTTTCACATTAAATATATGTCAGAGTCCTAAAAAAACAAAACAAAGCCTTTACTTATAATGTTGTTAAGTTTCAGAGCTGTGATTTTTCAAGTTTCATGAAAGTTCAGTGATAAAGTTTTTCAGAATATAATCTATGTCAATAAATATGCATGCCTCTAGTTTGTAATAAGAAACTGTCTCCAAATACCAGCCCCATATTGTGACACTGGAAACAACCCGAACTCACATACTGCTTCCTAGTTTATTATCTATAATGGCGTTTTTTCCATTTATTAATATTTATGAGTTTCCTGCTCCCAGGAGAGTCTCAGAACATTGTCTCATCCACACATCTAATCAAAACCTGATCCTGCAAAATGACCTTTAAGAATAACTTTTTATTCCCATGCTAATGTAGCAATTCTTATTTCTATTACATGTTATTTATAGAATAACACAACCTTTCAAAGTTGCCGTGTTGATGCCTATGGAAGTCTGTAAGAATACAATGTAAAAATTAATTTCCTTGTTGTATGAATTCACACTTTTCTTTTTTATTATTATACCCAAATTATATACACAAAGATACGATCTCCTGAGGTATTGTCAGTTAAAGGGAGCAACTGTGTTTGTTTATGCTCACAGAAGCTGACATGGTCTGTGCTGGAGTTGTTTTATACAATTTGATTGCATTAATGGGTTTATTCTTAATGTCCTATTATAATGCAAACTAGACTTCTAAGCTGAACATTTTAGTAAAAATAAAAATAATCATATAATACTATAGAACATGAGAAGGACTGAGGTGGGCTTGCTAACTCTAGTGAATGTACAGTTCAACAGTAAGGCACTGGGTAATAATCTCATAAAATCAAAAGGCTTGTTTTGTTTCAAAGTTAAGTAAATCTTGTAATTTACAGGGCTTTGGGATGGGGGAGTCTTTTTTTTATTCCCACAATAGACGTAAGTTAAAACTTTTGAATGTTATTTTTCTTTCTCATATCATCTTGTAAGCAGTCTGAGTGGCCTTTA